AACACCAAGCCCCCCCCTTCCAATCCTGTCTCCGCAGACAAGGTGCATGAGGAAATCGACCGCGTCATAGGGCGGACCCACAGCCCAGCCATGAACGACCGAGGCCGGATGCCGTACACCAACGCCGTGATCCACGAGATCCAGAGACTGGCTAACATCCTTCCATTTGGGGTTCCGCGCAAAGTGACCTGCGACACCCGCTTCCGGGGGTACCTTCTCCCCAAGGTGCTGGACAAGAGAAGTAGACAAATCGGGGGGGTTGGACCAAAAGAAATATCATGAGGTTCAACAAGGACAAGTGCGATGTCCTGCTCAAAGCAGGACCATCCCCAGCTAGATAATCCAAGGCAAATCTTTGTCTAGCTGGGTTTTGAAAACCTCCAGGGATGGAGCTTCCACCACTTCTCTGGGTAACCTGTTCCAGTGTTTTACTACTCTCTTAGTCAGAAAATTCTTCCTAATATCTAACCTCAACTTCCCTTGCTGCAACTGCAAACCGTTGCTCCTTGTTCATAGATTTCATAGACGTTAGGGCTGGAAGGGACCTCAGAAGATGATTGAGTCCAGTCCCCTGCACCAGTTCCAGGAAGTCAGCAAGAGTTAAAGGATCCCAGCAAGATAGGCGTCCAAATGTTTCTTAAAATCATCCAGAGTAGGTGCTTGCACCATGTCTGGAGGGAGTCTATTCCAGGCCTTGGGTCCTTGGACAGTGAAGAAGTTTTTCCTTATGTCCAGCCTGAAACGATCTTGGAGGTTTGTGACAATTTGACCTTGCCATCCCTTGGGGCGCTCTGGAGAACAGACACACCCCCCCCCGCCCAGATCCTGGTGAGCACCCCTTATATACTTATAGGCTGCGACCCGGGCCCCCCCGCACCCGGGCTTTTCCTTTTCCAGGCTGAAGAGTCCCATGACTCTCAGCCTCTCATCATTAGGCCCATTTTTCGGCCCTCTCATCACGCACGGGGCTCTCCTCTCCACTCTCTCAAGCTTCTCCACATCCTTCCCGAATTGTGGAGCCCAGAATTGGACACAGTACTCCAGCTGTGGCCTCACCAAGGCCGAGTACAGTGGGAGGATGACATCCTGATATTTGCTTGAGAAGCATCTATGGATGCAAGCCAGAGTTTTGCTCACTTTACCAGCTGCGACATGAAATTGGTGGCTCACGTTCATCGTGTGGTCAGTCATGACCCCCGAGTCCCTTTCAGCCGTGGTGCTAGCAAGTATAGCACTGCCGAGCCTATAAGCATGCTGCACGTTTTCACCCCACCCCAAGGTGGAGTACCTTACATTATTCAGTATTGAATGTTGTCGGGTTTTCTTCCACCCATTTTCCCACCTTGTCGAGGTCGCCCTGGATTACCAGCCTATCTTCGGGTGTGGACGCTTTATCCTAAAGTTCAGTGTCATTGGCAAACTTGGCCAGTCCACTTCTGATACCAACGTCTACATCGTTACTAAAGATGTTAAGAATATATGCCCAAGGACGGAGCTTTCCTGATGTTGAGGACTTCTGCATTGCTGACTGACTTGCCAGCTTTGCGGTGGATAGTGAAAGTGATCAGCTCATGGTCACCGTCTCCCAGCTTCCCTTCGATTATTAGGTCACTGACTAGATCATCCCCCTTAGTACCCCAAGCTCCTGGCACTGGTGTACAGGCATGTAAGTGTCCCACTGAAGGCCCTAGTCATCCCTACACTCCCAGGAAGACATCGTTTCAGAGCTGCGGTAGGGGTGGATTCCCTTGTGTGCCTTAGCCTGCTGGTTTTGTAGAAGCTGCCCAGTAGACTTGCTCTGGCAGTAATCCCCCCACCCCCCGGTGGGCTTAGTTTAAAGCCCAGTCGAGCAGGTCAGCCATTCTGGCAGAGAAGACCCTCCTCGTCAGTGAAGTGAGGTAGAGGCCGTCTCTAACCAGCAGACCACTGCCTCTCTCACCAAAGAGTGGACTGAGATCGAGAAAACCAAAGCTTTCATGATGACACCAGCACCACAGTCTTCAGTTGACTACCTCAATCCTCCTCAGCCCACGACCTGAAACCAGGAGGATCGAGGAAGACACAACCTGCCACCGCTGAATGAGGCCAAATTGGCACTGGTGAGGCCACAACTGGAGTCCTGTGTCCAGTTTTGGAACGCGCACTAGGGAAAGGATGTGGACGAGTTGAAGGGAGTCCAGTGGAGGGCAACAGCAATGTTTTGGGGGCTGGAGGCACATGACTTGTGAGGAGAGGCCGAGGGAACGGCGTTTATTTCCTGCCCACATGCAGAGGGGCTTGAAGGGAATTCCAAAGAGACTGGAGCTGGGCTGGTCTCAGTGGGGGCAGATGACAGAACAAGGAGCAATGGGCTCTGTCTGCAGCAAGGGAACTTGAGGTTGGATATTAGGAAAAACTCTCACAAGGAGGATAGTAAAGCCCTGGAACAGGCCACCCAGAATGGTGGTGGAGTCTCCATCCTTGGAAGTTTTTAAAGCCTGGCTAGACTAAGCCTTGGCTGGGATGATGTAGTTTAGAATAATCCCGCTCTGAGCAGGGGTTGGACTAGATGGAACCTGAGGTCCCTTCCAACCTGACTTTTCTATGATTCTATTAGATGGAGGCCAGTCCTATAAGGAAGAGGTTAGATAAGCATCCAGCTGGGGTCATCTAGACCCAGCACTCTTCCCTGCCTATGCAGGGGGTCGGACTCGATGATCTATTGAGGTCCCTTCCGACCCTAACATCTATGAATCTATAAGAGTGATCCCAGGCACATTGCCATGAGTGGGTTCGCCAACATACTGGCATTGCAGGGCCTCTCTCTACCTTGCCCAGGAGATTTCAGAGTTGTCACCAGTGGTAAATTTAACATCCTCTCAGCCTGAGATGTTGGGAAACACTTGTTTCTGGGTGGAGCTATTTCCCCACAGTTCCCAGCTGCACAAGAATTTGTCTGCTTGCAGAAGCTCCAGGTAGAAATGGTTTAATTCTCCCATTGCTGTTGTGTTCCCATCTCTCGTTCCCAGGATACAGATGTCTGCATTGCCTTGGGCATAATTCTCCAGGACCCCAAATACTTCAAGGATCCAAAAAGCTTTCACCCGGAGCATTTCCTGGCCGAAGAAGGCCACTTCAAAAAGAATGATAGCTTTCTGCCATTCGGCACAGGTACGAGTGACGGCTCCATTCCCAACCCTACTGGGTTCGACTCCCCACTCAAAGACTCCCATGAAATAGGATACTGGAAGAACCAGTTCACTCCTCTGTGACTCAGTTGCCTCACCATCCCGAAAGGGCTGTTTGCCCAGAGTCAAAAAGCTTGTACGTCTGTAGAGGGTGCGGCATTTATAGATTGTGAAGTGAGATGGGAGGCAGGTGAGCGCAGAATCCTTCCTCCCATCTCTCCTTAGCCAGAGACCTTCCAGCACATATAGCTCAGGCAGGTCTCCTGTTAGATGCTTGCAGACTGGAGTTCATTTATTTGCCCGTTGCTCTGCTTATCCCTGCAGGAAAGAGGGTGTGTCTGGGCAAGAGCCTGGCCCTCATGGAGCTCTTCCTGATGCTGACCACCATCCTGCAGCGCTTCACCCTGAAATCACCAAAAGAGCCGCAGGAAATCGATCTCACCCCAAAAGTAAATGGATCTGGAATTGTTCCTCCCAGCTACGAGCTCTATGCCCTCCCGCGGGAGGAAGGGCTGCACGACAGCACCTAGGACATGGAACAGGCATGCAATAGAGCAAAGCACCTCCTTCTCCTTCATGTCTCCACTCCAAAATTTTAGATGGGCTGCTCCCAATATGCTGCACAGGTGTTGGTGTTCCCAAATCTTGTAGGGTGCATTGGAGTGCTACAGGGCATCTCAGGACATGATCCATGGCTTGTGTCGCCTGACAAACATTGCTTGGTTGTGTAGAGGCCCCGTGATTTCATGAGCAACTTGCAAAAGACCTTTTAACCCTAAAATGCCCGATACACGTGCGTCGTTGAGGAGACCTCCCAAGCAAGATCTCACCTTTAGGCATTGACTCTGCCCACAGCTGGTCGTCATACCCAGTGTTTTTCATACTTCCATTTGTCTCCATATTGCAGAAATGGTAGTGTTGTAGGCCATAAGACAGGCCAAGAGCTGAAGTGTTAAAATCTGCAAGTCTACGCATCTGTGGAAAGCCCCAGGGTGCATCAGAGCACGTGGAATTACATCAAGAATATCCTGGGATGTAAGGATCAGTAGCAGCCTCCTCTAGTAGATAAGAAGCATAAGCTGTACATGGTACATATCTGGGAAGACATGTCGTTAGATAACTTCATTAATCAGCAAATTGTAAAGGCACACAGCACCAATCGTGACCAAGCAAGCGTGAGCAACAACGTCAGCTTCATGCAACAGAAATGTACTCTGCATTTGTTTAACCCTGCACTATCCCTGCTGTCGGTCAGTCTGATCGCCTGGCTGATACGACGAATAAAGCCTACACTGAGTTTGTGCTCACCAAATAGCTGCCCCACACTTATTTAAACCATGTGGCAGTACACCTAGCAGGTATTTGGGCAACGCGTGAACGGGATGGAAGGCAAACAGGTTGTGAATATATTTTTGCAAATGAAAAACAAACCATTGAGCAGGACTCTGCGGTACAGTTTCCAACCCAATGTGAAAATGAGACAGAGGAAGGGATCTGGGGTTCCCAGTGGAAGAA